CTGCCATTTCCACTTCTGTTTTGCTGTGTTCACAAGTAGGGCTCTTCAGTTAGAATGGAGTACGTACCCCAGCCCATCCCTTACAGCTCTGGCTCGCTGGGTCTGAGGTGGGCCCTGGGAAGCTGCCTTTTTAACCAGCACCTCAGAAGGTCCTGATGCGAGTGGTGTTTCAGGCAACCCTTCAAGACCCTAGCTTTGAGGGGAGGGTAGAGCTCAGTGGTAGAGTGCATGCTTAGCGTGCACAAGGCCCTGGGTTCAATCCCTGGTAATGCCACTAAAATAAATGAATAAACAAACAAATAAACCTAATTACCCACCCCCAAAATTTTGTTAAAGAAAGACCCCAGCTTTTGTCTCTGTACTCAGAAACACACATTCTCTGCTCAGTTGCAAGTACCTTTTGCTGTTTTGCTGTTCTCTGTCCACCACAATCACAAAAACCCATGATTTTCATGGGTGTTTTGTACCTCCCCATACAGGTGTGTACCTTGATCTTTTATTGTTTTTAAAATCTCTCTTTTGTCAACTTCATCAGGGATAAGGACCATTCCTGTTACTCTGTCTTTGACCTGGAGCTTAACTAGGACAGGTGGAGACATAGGTAGAGGCCTCCAGGTGCTCCTGCTGCTGGAACCAGCAGCGCCTGCCCTGCCCTGGGCAGAGTCACCCAGAGCTGCCAGCAGCCGAAATCCTAGAGGCTGTGGGCCTTGGGCTTGGCAGTTCACTGCTGCCCCCAAACCTCGCCCCCTGGGCCCCCCAAACTCTCCCTCCTTTTCCATGGCTACTCCCCAGAGCTTTACGTACCCTTTCTCCTTGTTAACAACTTTCATTGTATTATTCTTATTACTAAAGCAATAAATGCTTATTGTAGAAAACTTGGAAAATATAAGCAAAAAAAAATTATTGGTAACTGCCAATCAGGTATGACCACTGTTAACATTTTGGTGTAAATCCTTCCAGTCTTTTTAAAGTATATAATTTTAGATACGTTTTTAGAAATAAAAGCTGGAGCACAGGGCACTTGCTGTTCTCTAACCTCTTTGTCACTGTGTCGTGGTCATTTCCCCATGTTGCTCACCCACCTTCTGCCCCATCTCAGGATGGCCGCCACAGATGTGCAGAGGTTATTCAGCCTTTCTCCTGGTGGTCTGTGTTTAGTTTGTTTCTAGAAAACCAAGCTAAATTAAACAGCTTTGTAGGTGAACCTTCGCCACATACTTACAATTGTTTTCTTAGAACACTTTCTTAGAAACCAAATAGCTGAGCCAAAAGGAATGCACACTTTAAAGATTTTTGATGTCATAGCAAATGCCCTCCAGCAAATATGTACCAATTTGTGTAGCATATGAGGGCATTCACACCCTATCCACTGCCCAGTGTTTTTTGACTCAGCTAACTATACACATCATTTTTTAAGTAAGTGAAATTTAAAATACCCATCATCAGTTTGCTTTTATGTTTGAAGTAAAAGCTTCCTCTTCTGTCTTGTCTGTTATCTGTGCCTAAAATTGTAAGCATCAGTGTGTAGGGATCCAGACATTTT